GGGGAGAATATACTGGAGAAAAGTAAGACTGGCAAGAGATGACAGTGACAGTGGGAATGGAGAGGAACATATAAGATATTTACAAGGTAAGATTGACTGAAGGTGAGGGATGAGAGGAGAAGTCAGGGATAGATCCAACAGAAACAGAATCAGGTTTTAGTGCTGTTTGTTTTGGGGGAAATAAAGGGAGTTGGAGGAGGAATTCAGTTTTGGACAGTTTAATTTGAGAAGACTTTCAGACATCTAAGTAGAGCCATTCCAGTAGCAGTCAAAGCAAGGATGGAGACAAGAGTTGGGAACCATTAGCATATCTACAGTAACCAAAGTCATGGGAGAGATTAATATTGACTACAGACAAATAAGTCAACCAGACTTGAAAAAGCCAAGGACCAGAAACCAACATTAAACGGAGAGGCAGAGTATTAAAAGCTCACAGAGAAGAAGTGGCAGCCTGAGAGGCAGGAGAAAAATCTGAAAAGCATGGTTAACACTGAATGGTTGGTATTTATTTTCTTTTTTTTTTTTGCTAATGTGAATTTTCTCCACTTCTTATAGTGAACATTTATTACTTTTTAATAAGAAAAAGATGTAGTTTTAAATGGGTGATATTATATAACTTGCATCCATGTATTTTTCCATTTATATATGTAAAAATGAGACAAAGTTGAATCCTTTTCTGACCTATCTCAAAGTCATTAATTAACAAAACATAATTCAATATGACTGAATTATTAGTGTCTATAACCAATGATTTTCCTTTCCAAGCCATTTTTAAAGTGCCCACTCTCATTACTACTATAAACCATCTGCAACTACTTAACTTTGCCAGGCTGCTGGGATATCTGTCTCACCCTTGAGAAATCCAACCTAGACTAAGTGAATAACTGAATAAACAACTGCTCCAAAAATGTAATGACATATAGCTCTAGTAAAGACATCAGAGTATTTGTTTCTTCTGGATTAAAACAAATAGATTTATCCTCAATATAGTATAGAGAAATAAAATACACAGTACTGATCCATGAACCTACACAAATAGTCTCATATTCACATCTGCTATAAGATCAGTTATAAAATATTTTTGCCAATTATTTCAAAGCTATAAAATATCTCACCTCCATCTTTTCAAAGAGATTCTCTTATTAATCTCAGAAATCCTAATATTATGTCATTAGAAAATATTTATTTTAATCTTTTGGGGGACATTTAAGTTTAGATAAAGGAGTAAAACAGATCATTTTTATACTAACAGCTGAAGGTTCCAAATCATTGGAATTTGATCTTGACAAGTAATAGACTAATTCAGTAAAACAGTCCTAAAGTATGACAAATTTATTATTGAATCTTAAGGTTTAATTGAAACAAAATTATTTAAATGGTCCTTAAAAAAAGTATTTATAGCCCATAACAGAGTTATTTCTCATCCAAGGGGATTTTTGCCATTTTCGAGTTACTATTTTTCCTTCAAAATGTTACATGTTGTTTTTATCTAGTAGAGGAATATCTAAATACATAAATCCCATGTTGTATATAAAGCCTAAAGGCAAAAACTTTATCCCAAAACTCTAAAAAACTTTGAAGTTGCTAATTATAACTATATCTTGTCCATTTAAACCTTGATCCTTTACTTATCTAACTGCTTATCTCAAGCTAGGCCTGAGCTTTGAGTTTACCAAAATGAAGAATGATAAATATATGTGCTGTCTCTATTCTAACTCTTTTGAGAGAAGCAAATTATTGAGAAAAACACTCACTATATTTTTTTAAAAAGTGAAATTTCAACCAATGTATACACAAAACAGTATTGAGAAAATTAAGCCCCTTTATTTTTTTCTTCAGAGATCCTCAGTGTGTTTAGCAGCAATGTATATTTCTTTTTTTTTTTTTTAAAGATTTTATTTATTCATTTTTTTCCCCCCAAAGCCCCAGCAGATAGTTGTATGTCATAGGCTCACATCCTTCTAGTTGCTGTACGTGGGACTCGGCCTCGCGCTGGACGGAGAAGTGGTGCCTTGGGGCGCGCCCGGGATCCGAACCCGGGCCGCCAGCATCAGAGCACGCGCACTTAACCGCTAAGCCACGGAGCCGGCCCAGCAATGTATATTTCTAAAATATTGACAGAAAAAACACACTAGAGATTTATGAAACCGGTATTAAATGCAGTGTTATTTTCTTCTTGCACTAGTTCCAACTATCAAATTGGTGGTGAATATACAGTTCGTGTAACTTCATTTAAGAATTTTAGCACCATTTGACAAGCATGACAGAGTTTTTAAAGAATATTAAGAATTCCCAGGGCCGGCCCCGTGGCTTAGCGGTTAAGTGCGCACACTCTGCTACTGGCGGCTGGGGTTTGGATTCCGGGCGCGCACCAATGCACCGCTTCTCCGGCTATGCTGAGGCCGCGTCCCACATACAGCAACTAGAAGGATGTGCAACTATGACCTACAACTATCTACTGGGGCTTTGGGGAAAAAAAGGAGGAGGATTGGCAATAGGTGTTAGCTCAGAGCTGGTCTTCCTCAGCAAAAAAAAGAGGAGGATTAGCACGGATGTTAGCTCAGGGCTGATCTTCCTCACAAAAAAAATATATATATATTCCCAAAATAAACAGAGTGGGTGGGTATTTGAGATAATTTTTTTTTTTAATCTTCATCCTCCACAAATAAGCAATTCCAACATATTCCTAGTCAGAACTATTTCAAAGTATTTCCTAGGAAATTTGAGAACCCAACATTTTGAATATGTCAGGGAGAGTTCTGAGGATAAGAGAGTATATTGAGAAATGTTGGAATCATCTGTACATAATTTGTCATTTCTGAATCTGGATCCACAGTTTTCTCATCTGTAAAATAAAGTGCTTGAACAGAAAAAATAATCTATTTCTAATAGTGCCTTCCAGTATTGATTCTTGTGACTAAGTCATGATTTTCTTTTATAAATAACAAAATAAAAACTAAATGTGTTGAAAGTATATTTTTTTAAACTGTGAGGGGCTTTTTTGCTTTTGTTTTTTTAATCTGGTAAGGACCTTGAAGATATTTTCATAAACAAGCCAGCCATTTTATACCTGAATAAAACTGTTTAGTAGCTTCTGCAGAAAACACAGTATAAATGATGAAATCTCTGATTTAACATGAAATAATATTTTCCAACTTAAATTTTGCTAGTTTTACTTCAAATCCAAACTTCTGTTTTCAATTACATGGCTATTTTATCATCTGAATATTTTTTCTAGTTTATATGTGTATCGAAATTAATCTTGCTTCCTTTCCATATGGAAAAACACATATCTTACCATCATCTTTTTACATATTTCATTTTTCAAAAAACCTTCTCGAATGGCAAATGTTCATGGCTGTTCTAAATTAATGACTCTTTAATGGACCTTCTCTAATGTTTAAATGTGCGTTTCTTTAATTCTGCAACTGCATTTGTAAAGGTAAGAACTGTCAAAACAGAATTAGTCTGATGCTGAGATAAATTCTTCCACTTTGGCAAACATTTCCATTTTATTTTAAGCAGGAAGTTTTAAGTGTCTTTATATAGTGCTAAAAAATGACATTTCATAGGCCCTTTTCTATGATAGTTTACAAACACCAGGAAGAAATACTCTAAAATGTTAATACTGTTTATCTCTGAGTGGTGGTATCACAAGCCATTTTATTTTGTACATTTCCCAAAAAGTACTGTTACTTTGGTAATCGGATAGTATTTCAAAATTAAATTTTAAATAGCTTATAAAGTGTGGGACATCCACACAGTCCACTTCTACAGAAGATATGTTAAATGCTTTTTCTCTCTTGACAAGCTTCTGCTTTAACAGAAAGAATGATTTGACCAGGTGTCTGTTAGGTAGGATGAAGACAAAACATTTACTTTCCAGGCCCTTCTCTTAATTTGGGCTTTTGAGAAAATCCAAGAAATGAGTGTGAACTTAATTGCAGGGACTCTTACAGCAGTAAACTTTCTGGGAGGGGCTAGGGTAACACCTTTCATTACAGCTATCGGCAGAATAGCAAAAGACTTTCAGGTTTACCAATGTTTTCAGAGACTTGTTAGCATTCTCCTCTGTCATTATTTCAGAACAATTCCATTTAGAAAGAAAGGCAATTGTAAACCGTTCTATTTCAAGCCCATAAAAACCAGAACTGGGATGAAAGGCAAAGCCTTGACCTTTCTATTTTAGACTTTCATCTGTGGAGCTAAGCCATCTGCTTTCTCTCCCCTACTCCATCTACTTAATGGACTGAAAATACCACACCTAACTGCAATTTTATCAAACCAGCCTGACTCTTCCACTTGAACGAATTATGACTTTTTCAGGCGTCTTTCACCTGAAGTCTCGCTCGTAAAATTTTGCTTACCCTACCCTCCCAATTTCTTCCCACCTCCCTCAACTGTGCGTTATCAAATATCTTTAAACCAAGATATTAGCCTCCTGTGTATTAAGCCATCTAAAGAGCTCTTCACTTTCAACACTGAGCGGCTGACGGAAAAATCGACTCCAGTCTCTCCTCATGTGGATATGGGGCCGGTATTATCATCATTGTTGCCGTTACGCAGGAGGCACCTCGAAGCACAGCCTAGAAAGGAGTCTCTCTGCAGCCAAACAACAGGGGACTCAGACTGGGAAACGGCAGACCCCGGAGGAAACCTCTGGGAGGAAGAAGCCAGCTGGGAAGAAGAGGGAGCTCTCAAGACTGGAAGGAAAGACCTTCCGAGGCACAAAAGGGGAAAGGGTGTGTGAAGCGGAGCAAGAAGTGGCGGCCGAGGGGAAGCGGGAGCAAGGGGCCGGGCCCGGCGGGAGGGCGCGGGGGGCCGAGGCGGGCGTGGGCAGCTCGCAGCCATCCGCCCGAGTCCGAGCAGCCGGGGCGCTTTCAGCGGCGCCAGACGCGGGTGCAGGGGAAGAGCCGAAAAGAGAGCAGTCTGAGGGGCCGAGGGAGCCGCGGCGCGGCCGGCGCGGCGGGCCCACCCCCACCCGAGCCCCGCTACTTAACTATTTGTAGAGCTGCTGCAGGCACAGGTCCAGGCTCTCGCCCTCCACCTCCTCGAGGGTGATGCGCTCCGACAGCGGCCGCGGGAGCGGGGGCAGCGGCGGCAGCTGGGGCTGCGGCGGCGGCACGGCCGAATGCCCCCGGGCTGCCGCCGCCTCCTCCTCCTCGCCCTCCGCCGCCGCTACCGCCTCCTCTTCCACCGCCTCCTCCTCCGGCTCGGGGTCTTGCTCTTGCTCTGGCTCCCCCTCCTCTGTCGCGGCTACCGTGGCCGCCTCCTCCGCGAGCTCCTCCACCGAAGCCTCGGCCGCCTCAGCCGCTACCAGTTCGGGCTCGGGCTCCGACTCAGGTTCGGGTTCCGGCTCGGGCTCGCCGCCGCCGCACGGTCCGCGAAACTCACCCAGGAATAGCTCCAGGAAGCGCCGGTAAGTTTTCTCCTCAGGGATGCAGCCGGCCATCGCTGCTCATGCCCGGGGCCGACCGGGAAGTGGGTGGGGGAAAGCCCAGGAAGGGGTGGAGGCTGCCCTCGAGCCTCGGGCTCCCGCAAGGGCGGTTAACGGCCGCACCGGCACGAGCGATCAGCACTAGGTTGCCTGGAGAGGGCTCCCGCAGGCGTGCGCGCCACCGAGCACGGACGTGCGCGGGCCGGGGGCGGGGGCGGAGCGCGCAGCCCCTTTCGGGTCTGGAGGGAAAGTTGGTGGCGGGCGCGCGCGCAGGGTCCAGCGGCGGCCCACCCTCTAGCCCTACTGAGAGCTCAGCCCGCGCTGCCTGGAGACTGTCGCTATGGCAACCGGCTCTAATTAAGAATTTCAGGGTCCCTCCCGTCGAGTCCGCGGTCGAAAGGACACTCGACTCTTCCGCTCTCCAACTGAATGTCTTTATTGTATGGATGTCCTACCCTCAAGTGGGTAAGAATGAACTAAGACATCTCCAAGTCTAGCTGTTGGTTCCCGCTTATATTGGATGTACCTGTTTTCCTTATCTGTTCCTGTCTTGCCTTATTTAGCCTCCTTATCTATTGAAAGATACTACACTGTGAACACCTTTTGTTGTTGAGAACACTCATTCAGTAAGTAGTTTGGGGAGAGGGGCATCAAACACATACCAAGTGGTAGTTTCCTTTGCATACATTCTCTCATTTGATTCTGTCAAGAAAGTGGTGTTATCCTCATTTCTCAAAAAGAAGAAACAGTATTAAGATTAAACACTTTACTTGCTTCAAGGTGTCAAAGCTACTAACCATGGCATTGGAATTAGAACCCAGGTTGTCAGCCTCCAAAGCCTTCTAGACCCTTTTTCCTTTACTCTTCTCTGCCTCTGAAGAGTCAACAGTGCAATATGTCTTTAAAGCCTTATTTTTATAGGGCTTTATAGTTTACAAGTTGTTTTTACCCCTTTAGTTCTTACAACAGTGCCTTAAGACAGAGGACATTACCACTATGATTCCATTTTATAGATGAGGAAACTGAGCCTTAAAGACATTGTGACTTTGCTCAAGGTCACAAACAAGTGATGCAACAAGGACTAAATCAGGTCTTTTCACTGCAAAGCCATTAGTTTTCCAGCATACCAAAACACTTCTCTTTACTCTCTGCATAATACATATTATACTTTATTACATAATATGTATTTTTCCTACATTTTGTTTGCTCTTCTTACCCATCCCCCCAAGCCTCTTTTCTTTCTTTTTTAGATTGAAACTGAAACGACTTTAAATGATTCTAATTTTCTTACCAAACTACACACAAACCTATTATTTTCAAGCCTTACTGAGGGGGGTAGAAGAGCCAGAAGCTGTGTTGTTAAACAGCTGTACAGATGATAGCATCATTACTGCATACTGCCATGTCCATGGCAACATATAATTCAGCAAAAACATAGTGATCTTTCTCTACTTTGAAAAACATGTTCACAAAAATTATCCACCCCATCCTCTCCATTTATTTTTTCTGTGTTTCAGTTGGATTTAGGGTCTTAAATACCATTTCTAGTCAGTTATTAATGGCAGAAGGAGTCTCCCTGCTAACTGTTTTCATATAATACTGTGTTCTAAATCCCTGACCTGATACTGTTATTTTAAGATTAAGTAAGTTGAGCTCACTAATGTACATTACGGCATCACATAAAATAGACGTTCATTCTCTCTCCTAGCTTGAGATTAAATAATACATGATAGAAAGTATATTGTGAGTAATGCACATGAGTCCTCTATTACTATTTATTTTTGTCTCAAAGGTAAATGGGAAGATCCAATAAATAACTCTGTTTCCAGACAAGCTAAATGTATTTATACGTGTTTTGTTTAAAACATCACCAGTGTAGAGCAACTTTTCTATGAGATGCCAAGAAACTCTTTAAACTCCTCATTTGCCTTTGTTTTCAATCCACCTGTTCATTTCCATTTCAGAATGTCTAGAAAAGACTGACGAGGGCCGGCCCCGTGGCTTGGGGGTTAAGTGCGCGCACTGTGCTGCCGGCGGCACGGGTTCGGATCCCGGGTGCGCACCGACGCACCGCTCCTCTGGCCATGCTGGGGCCGCGTCCCACATACGGCAACTAGAAGGATGTGCAGCTATGACAGACAACTATCTGCTGGGGCTTTGGGGGAAAATAAATAAATAAAAAATCTTTAAAAAAAAAAAAAAAAGACTGAGGAAACTTTTAAGACTACAAACTGAAATATCCACAATTTTACATTCCAACAGCTATTTAATATCTCAGAATTTGACATGATGACATTTAAGTTCAAGAGTACAGAGCTGTCAACTGTAACAATTCATATCAAGCTACACCTTCCTACCTTGTAATGTAGTTGCCTCCCTCATCTGGGTGACATTTATTTGTGACATTAATTTATGACTCAACCCACATATCAAAAGGAAGTGTTATATGTTGGGGAAACATTACTACTAGGAGTAAAAGGAAAAGCCCACACCTCTATATTACTATAAATGAGAGGTGTTTGCTTATATTAATAAAGATATTTCTTCACATAAGATCAATATGGATCTTATTGCATCCATTTGACAGAGTAGCTTTGCCAGAAGGTTGCTGAGAGCAGTGCTGGGATCTCAGAGCAGCTGTAGGATGATTTTGCCATTGTCAAGAAGTCTTTTTAGTCATTATTTTGCATTGCTTTACTTTCCTTTTTCAGTTCCTCTCCTCTTATACTTCCCTATCTACTTTCTTACTATCAAAAAATATGGAGCTATGAAAAGCATATGCATCAAGGGTATTTAAATTTTTTTGAGTTTTTTTTCCCATAAGAATTGTTTTTCCTTGGGGCCGGCCCGGTGGCGCAAGTGGTTAAGTGCATGCGCTCCGCTGCGGCGGCCTGGGGTTCGCCGGTTCAGATCCCAGGTGCGCACCAATGCACTGCTTGTCAGGCCATGCTGTGGTGGCGTCCCATATAAAGTGGAGGAAGATGGGCATGGATGTTAGCCCAGAGTCAGTCTTCCTCAACAAAAAGAGGAGGATTGGCAGATGTTAGCTCAGGGCCAATCTTCCTCACAAAAAAAAAGAGTTGTTTTTCCTCTAACCCTTAGTTCTTTGGAGGAAATGCACAATGTCCTTTCCTGGACATTTATGGTAATGAAATTTATAAGGTTAAAAAGAATTGTTGAGTTTAGCAGTTTCTTATATGACCCAGCAATTCCTCTCCCAGATATTTACCCACAAGAAATGAAAACATGTCCACCAAACACACACACACACCACAAAAAACCTTGTATGTAAATGTTTGCAATAGTTTTATTCATAATAGCTCAAACTTGGAAATAACCCAGATGTCCATCAATAGGTGAATAGATAAATTGTGATGTATTCCTACAATGGAAGTAGTAACTCAGCAATAAAAAGAAATGCATTACTGATAAACCAACAACATGGATGAATTTCAAAAACATGCTGAGTAAAAAAACTCCAGGCACAAAAGAGCACATACTATATGATTCCACTTATATGAAATTCTAGAACAGGCAAAACGAATCTGTAGTAACAGAAAGCAGATTAGTTGTTGCCTGGGGCTGAGATTGGGTGGGGGATTCATGGCGATGGAGTAAGAGGAAACTTGGTGGGATGATTAAAGTGTTCTGGGCCGGCCCCGTGGCTTAGCGGTTAGGTGCATGCGCTCCGCTGCTGGCGACCCGGGCCCGGATCCCGGGCGTGCACCGAAACACCGCTTCTCTGGCCATGCTGAGGCCGAGTCCCACATACAGCAACTAGAAGGATGTGCAACTATGACATACAACTATCTCCTGGGGCTTTGGGGAGAAAAATAAATAAATAAAATTAAAAATAAAGTGTTCTATATCTTAACTAGTGGTTACATAGGTGTATCCATCTGTCAAAAATTATCAATGTGTGCATTTTAAATAAGTGTATTGTATGTGAATTATACCTCAGTAAAGTTGATTTTAAAAGTTAAAAATAATTGATTACCTTGTCAGTACTTGTCCTTTTTGGCTCTCATATCCATTCCTTCTCTCCGTTGCTATGCTCTGTGTTGTAGGGGGGCTGACACTTTCAGGATATATCCACCAAATTCCTTGACAGCTGACTTCCAGCTGGGATTTGCCCAGTGGGAGGCATTTTCAGGAAATTGGAAGGTGGGAGGAAAGGAGAAAAGCCAGGATATTTCTTCTCTGTTCCCTACCTCAGTCCTAATGACTGCTGCATCTCCTATGTAGCTCTCCTCCCTCTGAACATGTCCACTGGGATTCCAGCTTTTGCCTCTGACACCAGCCCCTGAGCTCCAGAAACATCATCTTCTTCCATTTGTCCTAGAGATGGTAATGGGTTCCAGCTTCCTCATCTTGCCTGCTATGGACTGAATATTTGTGTTCTCTCAATATTCATATGCTGAAATCATAACCACAAGGTGATGGTATTAGGAGGTGGGTCCTTTGGGAGGTGATTAGGTCATGAGGGCAAAACTCACATGGATGGGATTACTGCCCTTAAAGAGGAAGTCCATGGGGCCAGTCCGGTGGCATAATGGTTAAGTTTGCAGCTCTGCTTTGGCGGCCCCCAGTGTTCACAGGTTTGGATCCCAGGAGCAGACCTACACACCACTCATCAAACCATGCTGTGGTGGCATCTCATATACAAAATATAGGAAAATGGGCACAGATGTTAGCTCAGGGACAATCTTCCTCAGCTAAAAGAGGAAGATTGGCAATGGATGTTAGCTCAGGGCCGATCTTCCTCACCAACAAAAAAAAAGAAGAAGAAGAAGAAGAAGTCCAAGAGAGACCCCTCCCTGCTTACGTCATATGAGGACTCAGTAAAAAGACAGCTGTCTGTGAGCCACACACTGAATCTCCCAAAGCCCTGATCTTGGACCTCCCAGCCTTCAGAACTGTGAGAAATAAATTTCTATTTTTTATAAGCCACCCAGTTTACAGTATTTTTGTTATAGCAGCCCAAACGGACTGCCTCACCTTCCCTTTTGGCTTTCTAACTCTTCTGTCACTTGTGTAATACTTCCCTATACTCTATTCCCTGTTTTCTTAACTGGATCTTGATTGATACAACAACAAATAATACTTTAAAGAACTATAAAACGAATTATATATATAAAAGAACTATGACTGGATTAGCTGACATTAAAG